GTGTGAGGTGGAGTTTCACTTTTCTGCCTTATATTAAACTCAGTCAGCTAATTTACACATCTTCAGTCCATCACACAAACTGTACACACACTCTTCCAACATCTGTGTGACTGGGCCACAACATGTTTGACCTGGCAGACTAACAGGTTTTACATAACTCCATCCCAACAGCTGTGAACTCAGTGACTTGACTTTCCTTGGAAAGTTCGTCTTGCTTCTACTGAGGATTGGAAACAGGCATAAATCTCTAAATACGCAACAGGACAACTTGCAGGTTATGATAGGTGCCCTCATGGCAAGTGTATTAATTCGAAATGTATGGAGGCACAGGCGGAAGATCAAATTATGATATGCAAAGATTAGAGGTGTTGACATGAACCATCGTGGATTATTCCTTACATCTTTTAGACCAATCAGCCAGTAGCACTAATTTACCTGGCAATGGTTCCCCAGAGGTGCTGACTTGTACAAAGATGGGTTCACTCTCCAGGGTGTCCTCAATGGCGTAGATGCTGATGTTGTACAGGCTCCCTGGTAGAAGGTCACTCAGAGTCACAGACGTTGCTGTATCAGGGAGATTCAGCTCTGTGCTTTCACCTTCTACTGATGGAGTGTAGACCACACGATAACCTGCACAGAGGAAGAGGAAACAGTTACCTGTGTGTAGGCAGATGAGTTCAATAGCCAGCGACTGAAAATGTTAGCGTAGCTTACCAGTGATGGGAGCCAGCGGTTTTTCCCAGCTGATCATGATGGATGTATCTCCCACTTCCCCCACTTCGTGCTCCTTGGGAGCATCAGGTACTATGAAACAAGGTGTAAAAACGACGTTATAACCACTGTGGCGTGCGTGTTGATGCATGACACGAACTGTATTTCAGTGCTGCATTTAGTTGTAAAATCAAGGTGATGATGATGACAAATAATGTGTGTTCGCACCAGTTGTTTGTGAAGTAGTAAGAATGAGGTTGTCCTCTCCTCCCTCAGTGACCTCATAGACGTTAACAGTGTACTTCCTCCCAGGGAGAAGCTCATTAATGTTCACAGAGGTAGCTGTGCGGGGCAGATCTGACAGGAAGGAAATATTTTGGATCAACAAATCTGTGATGAACGAGGGAATTTCTGTGATTCGGAAATCACAAGCAATTTTTTTGATCTTAAAGTGTAAATATCTGTATCGGCGCCTACCAAGAACGATAGGTTGTCCAGTGCCTTGTCCCTGCTCGATGAGCTCATACTCCACTCTGAAACCCGAAACTGTGTCCGAGGCAGAAACCCAGGAGATGACGAAGCTGCTGGAGGTAATCTCGGTTACAGACTCTGAGATGTCAACCACAGGTGGAAGAGGGGTGGTCTCGCCTTGTGTTGTAGCCACTACAGGGAAAGTCATTGATTGGTTATTCAGGACAGTCCCATACACATTCCTCCAAAACCATCAGTGACTTCGTTAACTTACAGGATCCATAAGTGGTGGTGAAGTCAAAACGTGTGACCTCTTTGCGCCCAAAATGCAGCACGCTGATCAGCTGACCCTCGTAGGTGATGCCGGGTTTCAGACCGGAGATGGTGTACGAGTTTAGATGGCCAGGAATTGC